CGCGGGTCCCCGCGGGGGAGGGAGGCAGCGCGGGTCTTTGTGGGGCGGGGCGGGCGTCGGATGTGGGCGCGGTGAGCACCCCGGAGCCTTCGTCGCTCCCCGCCCCCCCCTCCCCCCCCGCCGGGACTCCCGGACTCGGCCGCGCCCCAGGGGGCCAGGAGGGAGAGGGCTGTGCCAGTGCCTCCTGCCCCGCCCCCCAACTGGTCTTATTCCTTTACATTTTGGGAAAACACCCATTCTCACAAAGCAGTTTCTTTTTCTATTCTAGGAAATTATAACTCTCCTTTGACAATTTTGTTGTCTAGTAGTTTCTCTTATTTGACAAAGGGATGATTTTATTCCTTGGAAAGACCAAGCTAAACAAATGAATACTGACATTTAGGTCTAAGATGGAAAAGAAATCAGTTTCTTTCTAGCACCAGTTATGCTGTGGACATGAAAAACATAAAAGTGAAAAACAGAGGCACCATTTATTATTTATCTTTATTTAGTGGCTCACTTGGCCAGCATAGAAGGAATTACAGAGAAATAGGAAAGACATCGTCTAATGTTTTCTGAAAAAAGATGGCTTTTTGTACAACTATATACTCTATCCCCCAAATTCTTAAATGTTGCTTTTATGGAATAAAAAATTGAATGTAAAGTTACATATATATAATACATGTATAACATTTTGTAACAAATGTATATAGAAGGGAACATATACGCATATATATTTCATTCAGTATATTACAGTAATCAATAACCATGGAGAAAATTAGATTTCTCAAAAATAGCCTATGAATAGCTTTCCTTCTGGAATAAAATTTTCAAAATATTTAACCTTAGTTACACCACTAAGTGCAGGTTGACGGATGATTACACAGATCTTACCAGGAATAATACAGACCAATATCAGAAAGTCTAATTGCCTTATATTCATTCTAGATTAGAGGTCCTTCTACAGTTTATCAGTTCCTAGAGTCTTTTCTAAAAATTAGTAAATTGACTTTTTCAATGATGTATTGTGCTTAAGTATCCTGAGGGTGAAATGAACATTTATTAACTATTTTCCCATAGCAAGAATGTCCTGTAGGAGTTGCATCGGACAAATGAGTGGAATTTCAGCTTTTCTTTATCTGCTGTTCTATCTCCTTTTCAGATCTGAGGGACTTTCTTGACTCAACAACGCAGAGGTGCATTGTCCAGCCATGTTTTTTGTCCCTTTAATTATGGAATTGTTGCTATTTAGAAGAAATTTAATACAAACATGCAATTCTTCCCAAATATATCACAGCAATACCTCATTTTTTCCATGATGAATAGAAATACCCCAGGACTTGTGAGTACTAAATACTGTAATGTCCTAGCTAACAAACTTATTTAGTCAAATGGATATCTTATGACCACCCGCTGAAATTCCATTTCTGCTGTGTTCTATGTCTTTAGGTTTAAACTGTGCAGTCATTATTAATGTCTATAACGTTTGTACACTCAGAGAAGTGCATAAATTCATTTTTAGGGGTAGACATTTAGCCAGCCACTGAAAGTAATGTAAAACTAACACAAAATACAATCATTTACCACAGGAATTTGGATTTGTTGAATGATGTATGAACATACCAGCATAACTCCTGATGGTGCAAAGCACCTTAGGAGCTAACTTCTAACAGGATGAAATGCTTATACATTGTAAAAGAACAACTAATTTGAGCTGGAGTGGTCAGGGCAGCTTTGTGTTGTTTCTGGGAGAGTAGCACCCAAATGGTCTCCTAGTGTGTGGGTCTGTAGAGACCAAGGGGAGTTGAGAATTATACTTAGAAACATGAGTGTACCTTGTTCAGTAAAGTGAAGCATTTGACCTAGCTAAAGGAAAGGAGCTACACAGGGAAACAGTGAAAACTGAATACTAGAGCAGGTTGCATTGTGGAGGCTCTTAAAAAAGAAATTTTCCTGAAAACAAAAAAAAAATCTAAAGATCCATTGAAACTCATTGAAGGTTTTTGAGTAGGTGAGTGAAAGAATAAAATCTATGACTTAAGAAAATAAATTAGAGCAATGCTTACTAATATGGGTTCCCAGGATCATTAATTAACACAGCTTCTCCAAAAGGATCTCCCAGGTCAAATAAATGGGGAAAATACTGGGTTTCTTTACTGTGGGTCTTCTCTAAGACATTAAATTGTTAATGGGCATTTTGATTTCCAAATGGAAAATACAGCATTTCCCAAATCTATTTGACCATGGAACACTTTCTAGGAAAACAATGTGGGGATCACATATTCCATATACTTGTGCCAGTCTGTCTATGAACTGATATATATAAGATGGGTACTGGTCTGTAATTTTAAGTAACTTATTTTATAGCTGAACCTTTTGTTTCCAAATTGGTACATATGCAAGATCTTTGCATTTTCTCGATGAATTTGTCTATGTTTTGGAGTCTTCTGCTACCAAGGAGTTAGGAGGTGATGGAATGTGGAATGACACTTACCTGGCCCTCTATGTCATCTGTGTATCCTGGGCACCTGCTGAGCTGTCCTAGTTGCTGTCTGGCCCTGGGGAGCTGGCCTGCACAGCTGTTGCTGAGACCTGTCTCACTCAAACCCAGTGGCTTTATTCCTTCCCTGCCGTTCTCAGATTGATGGGAATCATTTCACTGATCTGTTCCATGTTGCGGTGCAAGAAATTCTGTGTGACTCTACAAGGCTCTGTCTTTCTTAGGGATACGATTTAGCTGTTCTGTGAGGGCTTCCTGATTCCTTCTTGTTTTCTATTCAGGAAATGGTGCGCATGTCCCATACACCTCATTGTTCTAGGCTTTCCCCATGAGATTCCCACCTAAATCTTTATGCCATGAATTGTCTTTGTTTCCTCGGAAACTGAATTTTTAAAACTCATAAACAGCAAACATCTCTCTTTTTCCTCATATTCTTCTGTAACTTCTGTTCCCTGAGGACACGATCTGTCTCTTGGGATAGCTTAAGACAGGGAGAAAGGTAGAGGCAAGTAATACCTGGGGAAACAATCAATGATTATTTCAAAGATTTTCCCCACCAGACTTCTTAATACCCTATGGAAAATGCTGATGCTGGTCTAAAAGAATGGAGGGATAACAACTCAGGAATAAAAGTAGGTGTGTGGTAGGAATGCTGTCTCGAGTTTTGCACATCACATGTGGTTGATGACAGTCATAGCCCTCAGTAAGTGATGAATAACTCATTGTCTTTGTTGTCCTTTGTGTAGTCCTCCCCTGCATGGACTCTTGAAAAGCCTCTTGCTGTTGGGAACTCTTCCTCCACTGTATGAAGAAGGCCGGGCTAGCTTGTTGAAGAGATGGGATCAACCTGGAGCCAGCACAAACCAGCAGACATGTAAGTCAGCCCCAGCTGAGCTGCCAGTTGACTGCAGGTGCAGAAGTGACCTTAGCTGAGACCCAGACTGCCCTGATGAGCCTCCACCAAGGTGTTAATATGGACCATAAGCAACTAAAGTGGTTATCTAGCCCATTTTTATTGAATCAATATAAAAATGCAGAATACAATAGGAACGAATGTTTTAACTATAGGAGGAATGGAAGATAGAAGAGAGGAAGGGTCAAATGTAATTATGGCGATTTGTAATCTTCAGGGACTTCAAAAATTGTGGACAGGCATCTGTGTAGACACATGGTAGATGGGGCCTCAGCCTCATTCTGTCCTTGTGCCTTTTTCAAAATTATCACTGTCACTGGCTTGGATTCCAGGGGTTGTTTTGAGGTCTGATGAATTGAAAAACAGTTATCTTAGTAAAGCACATTTTCGGATACTAGACTCATCTAAATTCCTGATTAAGTAGATTTTCCTAAAGATTTCCTCAAAGCAGTGAGATAAATGTCATAAAACCAAAGTGTCAAAAATGCAAAGAGATTGGGAGACGGTTATAGCTCAGTGGTTCAGCACATGCTTACTACTCATGAGGTCCTGGGTTCAATCTCTAGTACCTCCATTAAAATAAATATATAAAAATAAATAAACCTTATTACCTCTCCATCAAGTACGAAGAGTCTCATGATACATACCTGCTTTGTAGAATGGACTGCTGCAAGTTAGCTGTGATTACCTAGGCTCAAAAAATACTAGCTCAGAGTTCTCAGCGGAACTTCTGCTAGCCCTGGATATTGCTTTTTTACAAATTCAGTTTACATCCATATTAATCTTGACAGTAATCCTAAAATTTAGATGTTGTTTGTATTGACACTTTAGAGATGAAGAAACTGAAACTGAGCTAAAATAATTGGACAAAGTTAGCACAGATGCTGAATAGTGGCCCAGGAGTTTAGTCTGGAAAGGTGTTTTGACATCAAATCAAGCCTTTTTTTTCTCGGCGATGCTAGTTCTTCCCAACTTTTTTCAAAGGCACTGGAAACCTGTGGTGCTTCAGGGACCAGTGAGCAGAAAAAAATGGGGTGGGGAATAAACCAGGCAGTGCTCTGGGCCCCTCAGTCTAATTTCAGCCACAGCACATCTGATACATATGAGTCCGATATAAAGTTTTATTTGAAAAAATTCCCGAACACTGTATTGTTCCATGATGTCTCCTAATGTTGTACTGTCAACTTCTTCAAGTCAGACCTGTCTTAGCCTTTCTTTGGTCTCACAGTACTGTGAACCCTCCCTGACCTGGAGCATCATTGCTCTTGGGATGTGATTTGGGCTCCAGAACTGCACTAAGAATCTCTCATGACCCCTGGCAGCCTTGCTGTCTTTGACACCGAAGGCAGTTAAATTATTCACATGGCCTGTAGACTTTTCACTGTTTTTAGTGACATCACCTTCATCAGAAATTATTGAGCTCTCTCCCAAAAGGGACACTAGATAATCACAGCTAACTTCTCCCCATAGCTGCAGGCAGTTTTCCAGGAAAAATTGTACAAAGGCAATTGGTAACAAAAAAAGGGCAAAACAGGGTGTTATTTTACATATAGCATGGTTACAAATCACATTTCCTATCTAATTCTTTGATCTAAATTGAAGAGAATTCTGAGAAAAATTCAGAGTTGATTTAGAAAATGTGTATACAAATCAGTTTTCTCTAAGAAATAAGTGATACTTTCAAGAGTACTTTGGGTACAGATTTTAAAATTCGTTTCATCAGTGAGCTATAGTTACAATTTGTGGCGTAGTTCAGTAGCTAACATTTTTGTAATGTTGGTTACATCTTCAAAACTAGGATGCAAGTCACCCACGAAGGATACTTGGGGTGAAAATGTATATTCCCTTACTAAATTTCGTTTATTTGTTTTTATTTCATTTTTCCAGTCTTATTGAGATAAATTGGCA